AGAAATAAACACCGGACAGTTAATGTTAACTTTTTTTGTCCCCTTCACCCATAAAACTACAGCTTCTAGATGGAATATCTTCTGTTAACTTACACTGATAGAAAACAATGGATTAAGGAAAGATTTAATGAAGGTAAAAGTAAAGCAGAAGGCACCTACGTTATATTTAAACATGAACGAGATCAAATGCTATAGGAGGAGGTAATACTTGGTACCAGAGCTTTTACTGTGGTTGAGGGAGAGTGGAAAGCTTTTGAGCACCAGCCCAGCTGCACTGGTGTGCTGATGTTAACCTGAGGAGACGACAACAGTGTTTGCAGAGCAAAAGAGGGACCTGAGGAAGATGAGAGGTGCCCACACTGGGCCACGAAAGTGAGAATTATTATGGATAGCCAAAGCACTAGCAAGTGGTGGAACCTGAGAACGCACATAACATGCCAGTGAAATGAACACTTCCGAGGAGGCTGTGATTTCAGTATTATCAGTTTTTAGTTCCAGAGTCATCTTTTGAAGGCATTTTGGAGATCTCTAAGCATCAGAATTAGGAACTAAGAATTTTTACAGTAAAAATGTAGGTATTTCCAAGACACAACACTGTACCTCTACATCAAAGTTAGTCATGTCAGCTTTCCACTGGAAGTGTTCCTGCACAGCTCCACCGAAGTCTCTTGCAGCCTCATTTGACGTGAAACTGTGCTTGTCTCCTCCTCTATTGCACGTAACACGGAACTTCAACACCTTTGCCTCTCCTTCGCTTGTCTTACCATCACCAGCCTTGGTCCCACTCCCAGAACCCGCCTGCAATTCATCTTTAGCGTCAGACTGTTCATTCTCCTCCTCCTCCTCCCCATTTCGGGGTGCCACTCCTTGTGTCTTTTCTGTATCCTGGCTGCTAGTGGGTTCTACACCTGCATTGTGCTGGGCACAGTCCTCCTCTTTACTAGCGTCTTTTTGATCTGTTCCTTCCTCTTCTCCATCGTCATTCAACTTCTCTTTGCTTGCAGTACTCTGCAGATTATGTTTTTTGCGTTTTGTCTTTTTCTTTTTCAAGCTGTTGTTCAGCTTCCAAACTTTCAATGGATCAGTCCAAGGCAGTTTTTTAACCAAATCTTCCAAATCCTTTAGAGCATCTTCCTTTAAAAGACAAAAAAAAGTTGTGCTTCGAAGTCATTCCATCCCTTTAAAAACTATCCTTTTTTAAAGTCTCTCAAATTAGTTTCCTAAATGTGTAACCCACTACACATTTAAGCAAAGCTTACAGCTTCTTCTGCCATTTTTGCCATAACTGAATTGCACTGAAAGTCACAGGACCCATAGTATTTCATCATTTATCTTGTCAAATAAACAGCCAACGCTAAATTAAGTGACTGAAATGATACTTTACTGTCCTATAAGCATGACATTGGCTCTCATTCTAGATTTTGCCCGTGTAACATATTTAATGGAAGAAATCACTTTAGACAACACGACGGCACTTCCATCTTACAAGCCAAAGAGGAACTGGGATATCACAAATAGAAAAAAAAAACACCACACCTCACAAACTTGTTCATGAAACAGAATACTTTCTGAAACATCTTAAATTAAAAAACACTCCAAAATCCAGAACCGATTGAAAAACGAGAAGTAACTCACCTTGTTTTCTTTAAATTGATAGTCTTTGAATTCCTGAATGACAACAAATAAATTATCCACTGACCTTAGACGATGGACCTGGAAGAAATGAGAAGCCACAGTGGCACATTACTAACCACGTATGCCTAGGGATTGTGTTTATTGTAATTAGAATTTTGTCATCTTACATGTAGATTTATGAGAACACGTTTTTCCATTTTTGTTTATACGGGGGCTAGCACTTCACGTGCAAAGCCAGAAGCAAGACTTCTTTGCACTAACTGAAGCTCCCCATCTTTAACTTCATCCACCCTTGCAAAACCAAAATAAATCTGGATATAGCTCTCCAAATCAGAATAGCCAAAGCGGAATTCTGAAGTGTTTTTCATAACGAATGCCTTCAAAACGGGAGTACTTCGCCCACGGCGGGCTAGCACCCTCTCCTGTGCACTAATGCCACCGCTCCTCCCGTCACGGCCACAGCAGTGAGGGCAAGGCCGCCGGGCACGGCCAGGCCGGTGCACCACAGAGGACACAACCGCCCCCG